ATGTCAAATGACAGCAGCTTTGAAAAGACAGATATATAGAATGTAGGATTTGATTTGGTGCTGAAGTTTGCTGTCTCCTGTGTGATGAGGATTCATCATTTTCCATTAAAAAAAAATCTTGAATGCAATTGCATATATCATAATCACCAGTGGAAGAAAATGTCATTGGTTTAATTCTTTCAGGCACAGGGAATATTAAAATGTTAGAGGTAATGTGAGATATCATATAGAATAATTAGGACATAACAATGTTCGCATTTTTTCCTATAGATGAAATTACTTTGTCTGCCCTTCCTCTTTAAGAAATTACAGTGGACATTGTTCCTATGGTTACTGGGAGGCAGCATTTACAGAGACTGTGGATTTCTATAAAAGAAGCAAAAAAATCACTGGAATGGTCTGCTGTGTTAAAAAGTCACTTTGCACTCAAATTTTTATAGGCTAAGAGGATGTTGAAGATTTTATTTCTAATCAGGTACAATGTGACTAATTAAACATTTAAGATGAGCAACACAGTGTAATTAATTTTGTCAGCTTTTATTGGTTTGCCCCTCCTCCAACCTCCCTCCCCAAAGGTTTGAGATTTAGAATGTCAAAAAACATCAAGAAGATTTTAGAACAGCAAAGGACAGACTGATCTCAAACATGGTCAGAAGAGAATACCTAAAAATAAAATTCACTACATATTGCTGTATGTATTACTACCATCTGATCTACATTTGAGGTGCATTTGGAATTAAGGACCTCTTATAAAACACACGCATTGACCACATGCTAATAATAATCTACATGACACATTTGCCCCTTTTTTTTTTCTCTGTCCATATCTGACCTGAAGGAAATTTGGAACAGTTTACATTGGGAAAGGAATTAATGTTCTTTTGAAAGCTTAGAATAAAATAATCTTCAATGTAATTTTAGTCATTTAGCTGAGTACAAATTAAAAGGCTGTGAAATGTTTTACCCATCTGAGGAAAATGTTTTGTCAAGCCAATATAAACTGTTTCAGAGAGCCAGATGAGAAATAGGCTTCAAAAAGTTTTCAAAAATTTAAACTCTTTTTGACAATGTCAAAAATTAGTCAAATAGAAGTGAATAACAGATTGTTTAATTGACTGAGATCTGCTACGTTGCCCTCATGACAATTATATTTCAAAGAAGTTTACACTCACAGAAGAATGCTTTTGTTATTATTTTGGAGTAGAAGTACCCCAAGAGTCAAGCTGGAGCAAATGTCAGCTTTTATGTACATTCTGTGGGGTCACAGATGAAAAGCATCGTATGATCATAAAGCTTGGTTCTCATTACACAATACCAAGCTGAAAGAATATTGTCTTTTTAATTCTGCATTGTATTTATAATTTCTGTTGGAGCTTCAATTTATATTTTAGAAGACTATTCAGTTTTGACTTGGGAAAAAAGCCCACACAATAGATAAAAGAGCATCTTTTATATTCAAATTTGTTCTTCATTTCACCTCTTTCTATTGGTTTTTCCATTCTGTTGTTCACCCCACATTATTTTATTTTATATTTTATTTCCACTTTCTATTCACTAACCTAGCTGTGGAAAACAATGAATTGAAGAAAAATAAATCACTCCTCCATAGTCTGAAAAGCCAAAACATTGGCATTCAAGACAAAAAGTCAAAACTATGATACCTGAGTATATTTCAAAATTAGACAAAAGTTTCTTTGGTTGTTTTTATAGCTCTCCATGGCTATGATTTCAGAATTCATTTATTGACCCACCAGATGTTTAGCTGAACACATTCCTCATATCTGAATATACAAGACTGACTGTTTTGGAGAATACAGTGATTCAATTTTGTTTTAGCTGGGGCTACAACATTGCTTGCCTCCTTCTGGGCTGTTAGTTTTGGTTTATATGTGAATGTACACTATCATTCAAAACAGACCCCTGGGTGACATTTACAGTGAATGTTGACCATGCACACCCTCTACAATGTTTAAATGATGATATACCAAATCTCATGTCTAAATCATGCATTCTCATGAAATGTGAATGTCAGAGCACAGCAGCCCTCATTGGTACAACAAAGCTCACTTCCCAGGCTCTCAGAGCTGACAAGAAAAAAACAAACAAAAACAGTCTACGGAGAGCCCACATGGTGACAAATATATGCAAATGCAGTAATTAAAGCTTTGTAATTCAAAGAAATTCACTTGAACTCTCTTATGAATTTCCTGGGTCTTTTCTTTTGGTCTGAAGGGTCTGAAAGTTTCTGTCTTTCAGAAAATGTCTTAGGGCATGTCTGGCAGCAAAATATTGTCTATTAATGAACATGCAGGATAATTTTTACTTTGGAGAAGACTAAATTAATCACTGGGACAGGTACTGTCATCTTCCTTAAATCTGCTTTGGACTGTTCAGAAGGCAGTTGCTACTGAATAGGACTTTTAAGAACCCCAAGAGGATAACAAAAAAATTCTGCCATCAGTACTCACTTTAACTGGTTTTTCCATTTTATACCGAATTAATGGGCTAACTCTTTTAACTGGTATCAACTAGAATAGATCCACAGGTTTCAGTGAAAAAGTATAGGTGCATAACAATTGCAGATACATCCTAGAGAGGAAAAGTGAAGTGTAAAGTATTCAAGACAAAATCTATTTCTGTGCTGACTTAGGATCAGAGTTTTTCCTGAAAAAAACCACTTGATAAAAACAAGAAAAAAAGTCATCAAGATCTAAAATGTGTATTGTGTATAGCAATTACTCTACAGTGATAATAACAACATAGGTGAAATTTCATGCTTCACAGAATCATGAAATATGTTGTGTGGGAAGAAACACACAAGGATGATTGAATCCAACTCTTGGCTCTGCACAAGACACCTCAAGAGTCATAGCATGTACCTGAGAGTATTTTCCAAACGCTTCTTGAGCTCTGTCAGAGTGGTGCCGTGACCACTTCCCTGGGGAGCCTGTTCAAGAACACTCTGGGTGAAGGACTTTTTCCCGATATCCATGGCTCAATTTCATGCCATTTCCTTCAGTCCTTTCACTGTTCATGAGCATATCTGTCCCTCTGCTTCCCCTCATGAGGCCACAATGAGGCCTCCCCTCAGTCTCCTCCAGGCTGAGCAGAACAAGTGACCCTTCACCATCCTTATTGCCCTCCTTTGGACCCTCTCTAATAGCTTCCTGTCTTTTTGATATTGTGGCACCCAAAACTGCACACGGGGCTTGAGGTGAGGCTGTTCCAGTGCAGAGCAGAATGGGACAGTCCCCTTCCTTCACCAGTTAGTGATGCTGTGCCTGATGCACCCCATATGCATTTCCTATAGCCTTTCACTAAGTATAATGCTTTGGAAAAGAAAGAGAGAGAAGAATAGCCATAACTGCATGGTATTCTGCAGAGAAGATGTGGTGGGAGGATTCTCAAACTCTTATCATTCCAGTGAAGAATGGCAAGAACACGACATCATTCAAAATCACCTATCTACAACACACACTGTCCATTAAAATGACTTTTAAAAGTTCAACTGCCTAAATGAAAGCTCAGTCTGAGCTTAGTGAGGTTTTTTGGTAAAAGCTGGCAGCATTTTTGTTAGATAATATGTGCCCTGAGTGTGAATTATCATATAAAGATCCTCTACAAAAAGAGATGGCAAACTGCTTTTTGCTGCTTATTTCCACAATAATTGTACTTTCTAAAGGTGATCTGCTGTCTTTTCATGCTTTCTGAGAAACATGAAGACAGAAAAAAAATAGCCCCCAAACCCTGATAGTACTGTAAATACTCCAAATCCAAGACAAGCTATTGCACTTGTTTACCTACCATCCATTAATATTTAATCTGCACATGGATAAAATGTCAGCTGAGCTGTCCAGAAACATCTGGATGTTATGATACCTAACAAATTTAATAGGCATAGCTAATGAGCCCAAAGATGGGGAATACATTATGTGGTTGCTGGTGCAGCCTTCACACAATGAATATAAATAGGCTTTCGTTGATCTTTTGTCCTACTAAAATGTAATCCAGTTTATTGAACTGGTGAATTGCATTAACCATTTTGACATTATTTCCTTATAAATCTAACATAGTGTCCTTGTTCTGTTCTTTGTCAGTACATAATGCTAACCAAAAGGAAAGGACAAAATCCCACGGCAGAGAGGGGTTCCAAATCACTGATGGATGTTGATTTAAATGGGAAATGTTTTTTAAAGCTCAAAGAGAACATCACATATCTGCAGAAAAGATCTGGGGAGTAGGTTGGAGGAATGCATTAAAAAGGACATATTTCATACTTGGAAGGCAATGTGTTATGGGCTTGGAGCACAAGTAAATGAAGGTGTGTAAGTAGAACTCAGAAAAGGCTTATGTGTATGAAAGATTGCCTGCTTTTACACTACCATAGTAGTTTATCACATATTTAAAAACCTCGTGTCATAAACTGAAACCAGAATAGCTACAGTGACATGAAATAAACAACGGGGTTTAATTAGCAGTGGATATTTTACCGTTCCATTTTAAAATATCTGAAAACATTTAATAAGCTGGTGGCAAGAAAATGGCAGTCAAAATTTGCTGAAGCTGGGATTGTATATTTAACACAGTCTCAGCTGTTTCTGCGCAAGTGACTGAAAGGGTTGAAACCACAGTTGTGCCTCACAGACAAAACATAAACTTTTTCATACCTTATCTAACTTTCCCATTCAGCTCACAAAGGACATTGTCTCATGAAATGCCATATTAACTCCATTTATGATGTCACTAGTTCATTGCACATACGTTAATATGAATACAAAATAAATGCTTCTAGTACCTGGATTTATAATAGCTATAGACAATATCTAGAGTGAGGTTTTTTTTTTAATTCTCAGTTTATGAATCTGAAGAGATTGACATATAACCTTTCTTCAGATAAACAATTAGAACATTTCAAAGGCATATTTTATTCCTTCCACTGTATTTACCATCATACTGACCTGTGACTTCCTTTCATTTTAAAAACACTTACTGGTTTACAGGTCACAGCAGTAGCAAAAGGGCTGAGAAAAAGAATTTTTCTCTAGCATCTCTGAAGAAAGTATGTGCATACCCAGGAATCAGATTGGAAAGGCAGGAAATCTTCCTAGAGCTCCTTTGAAAGAATAAGGAGGTGGTTCACCCAAATACCTGAGTCCAGGTAAGTTCTTTCATCTGTAAATTTGTTTTTGTTAGTATTCTGTGTATTTTCTTTGCCACAGTCATTGCTCCTGCAGTTTGCACATTACTCAGCTAGATGAATATCCAGGGTAAAATTTTCATAATTTTCTCAGCTTACCAGTCACATTCAAACCTTGTTTACATGAGCCTCTCAAAGAATGTCAGACTACAGTTAAGAGCAAAGTTTGGATAAAATATTTATCAAGGAAATGAGAGGTGAGAAATGAATCCAAAACCTTGACTAGTCTCATCCAAGAGAAAACGAGAAGAACAGGAAAAGCAGAAACAGTAATGTATTTCTTTGCTTTTGGGTCTTCAGGTTTTAGGAAAAAAAAAATTGTTCTAAAACCTGAATTTTCACCAAGCCACAGTTTTGATTAAAAAACAAATAAAAATTATTTACCTGAATAAAAAAAAAGGTATTATTTACCTGAATCTAGCATTGCCGCAGTTTTCCATGTAAACATGGAAAAATGACTGCAAAAATAACTTATTACAATTTTTTCCCAATAAATTCCAAGTAGAGCTTTCCAAATGTGCAGAAAGGATCACAGAAAGATTAGCAGAAACTTGCTGTGTCTGGATTTTTTTGTTTGTTTGTTTAATGTTGCAGGATATCCTAAGGACTTGCAGTTGTTACAGTACAGTAGAGGAGACAGCGATAGATCCAAGCATCAGAGAGGGGACAAAAATAAAGGACACAGGAGATGAATGAGCAGCAAACTGCTACGGCTGGGGAAGCAGCGTGGCTCAGAGGAACAGCAGAAATAGCTGCCTGCTTTCCTGGTATCCTGAGAAGAGGAATCTGTAATTAGGATACAAGCAAATATCCTCGCAATCTGTTTCTGACAGTGGAAAAACAATTTCTCTACTATTTTAATGATTCATCTGTTTTGAAAGCATGATGAATATTGATGGATCTGACAGCATCCTGTCTGCTGTATAGGAAAAAAAAATTGAGAATTTTAGAAAAAGTTAAAAAATGAGAATAATGAATGTCTAAAATATGAAAGGAATTCAAATAAGAAATCATTGGTAGCCCTCCAGATACTAAAACCTTTAAATGATCAACCCTTTCTAAGATTTATTGTGAAAAAATTAAAAATTGAGTAGTGGAAACTCAGTGTCTTAGATTAAATAAATACTGCACTAATAAAAGCTTACACTGAATTGAAAAACAAGTGAGGAAATTATTTTTAAAAATTTACTGAGTTTTTCTGTAAGTGCACATGGATAAATGCAATTATTTTGGATTTTATAACTTTGCATATGCAGTATAAAGAGAAGAGTGAATATTTTCAACCATTTTCCCCCAAATCTCTATGGCATGTTAGCATTTCTAAAGAATTTGATAAAGAAAAGGAAGATAATAGATATTTGCTATGCAATCCTTTGTAGCAATACAATAGATAGATCAAAAAAAAAAATAACAACTTCAAGCCAAATGTTTAATATTGAACAATTGGTGGAATTGGAATACATTTTGTTCTTCGAAAACATAGATATGACAAATGTGTGTCTATTTAAGATGGCTTTGGAGCCAACAAGTGATGACAGCAGAACTGACCATCTTCTGTCAACATTATCCTTGAATCCTTTATGGGTTCAGTCTGTAAATGAAGCTCTCAACTTAATAGTGGCTACTGAGGCTTAAAATGAGGACTGAGTAATTTGCATTCCAGTATGTATTGCAGAAACTGCTGATGGGATATGAGAAAGCAAACATGTAAGAGCTCAGCTCTTTGCTGCCCTTATTAAATGAGCATTTCCAATTCTTGGCATTGTAGATGATAACCAAGGGAGACTTTTTCACCTGGCAGGATAATTCATGTTAGGGAAAATTCATTCTCTTTCTTTATTTCACAGAACAGCAGAAGCTTGAATAAGTGGTATGTGACAGGAAAATCAGGTCTTTTGGTTGTAACTTGTGATTTTTAAGAACAAAACTTCACAAGTATTATTGAGAATAAGAATATTAATCTATTGCAGAGCAATGATTTTTAAAACTTTTCTAAAATAATAGGCTACATCTCTACTTATATCTGGGTATTTCTTTCCTTCTCAGAATGATCTGTACCATACTGCAAGTGGCACATATTTATTTTCTCATTGGATTTTTAGTAGTTGAAAATTAACTTTGGAATAGGTCAAAGATGCAATTTCATCTTCAGATGTTTAAATTACAGTCATTTCAACACCTCCTCATCACTTGTTAGGGTTTGGTCTTTTTTTTCCTCTTATTTCAACATTGTTTACTTGACACCAAATTTGGTCATAACAGTAAAAAATGCACCTTAAATAGGATAATATACATCACTTTTTCAGCCTTTTTCTGCTTGACAATTATCATTTTGGATGAAAAACTCTTGTTAATTTCTCTTGTGCAACATATGGATAATTTCTTTCTGTTTCCATTGCATTTAGTATTGCAATAACTGCTGATGGTTCTGCCAGTGTTTCCACTTATCCCTTGAAATGCAGGAATCTTCTCTGCATGCTTGATGTAATATGGTTGTTTTCTGCAGCATAGCTGATGAGCTCTTCCATTGGATTTTAAATATATAAATTATGTCATATTATTTCAAGAGTTAATTACATCTTTTAAAAAGTTTTATAGTTTCTAATTACAACTAGCTTTCAGTAGTGGATGATTCCTGCTTACATACAATTCCCACTCTGATCATACCCTGCACAGCCAAAAAAGTCCTGCAGGCTATCCTGCAATACTGTGGAATCCAAAACAGTCCAGTATTCACTCTGACTATCATCATTAGAGGTGCTGAAGGTATCTATGTTAACAGAGTTTAGCAGGGAGGCGCAAACAATTGTGTGAGTTCTGCAAACATGGAAGCTGCTGTTGAAACTTGGCCCACAATTTTAGATGGGCCCAAGTAACAGCAATCCAACCTATAAGGAGGGTGAAGCAAACATCATGGGACAAACAAACACAGTCCCCAGCCTCAAAGTCCAGAGCTGGTTGCAGATGCCTATCTGCATAACTTTTGTAAGCAGCCTGTGCTTTTTCTGGATGTTCAGAAGGAAACAAATGTCTAAGTTGCAACCACCAAGCCAGAGTCCTCAAGGGAAAACTCCTGGAGAGCTGCCCCAGCACAGCTATGTGGTCGTGGGACTGGGAACCATAGTGCTAGTACGAAGAGGTCTGCTGCTTGGAAGAGCAGACGCTGCTCTTACAGGCAAATATTGCCAGTGGCAGGAGGTAAATCCAGTCATCCACAACAGTTGATATAACAACAGGGATATGGCTTCAGGATCTGGCTCACCTGCTTTGTCTGACTATTAGACTGCGTGTGATATGGGTTGCAAAGCCCATATTGCACCCCAGCAGGCCCAAAAGGTGCCACCAGAGCTGTGAAGTGAGCTAGGTGTCTCCATTCATCTCCACACGGCCTAGGGCAGCCCAGGGCACTGAAAGGAACGTTGCAAAACCAAGTGTGTGGTCCAAGGGACTGGGGGCAACCCCTTATTGGAACAAAACCAGATTCCTTGTAAATGTGTTCACCACTGCAAGCACTACTCCATGGCCCTGGGATGCAGGCAGATCCCCAGTTAAATCCATTATTGTTATCCATTCATGTGCCACAGCTACGCAGGAGCTGATAAGGGTTGGGATAGACCCTGCAGGATTCACGTGGCTCTCCTGCCCCAGACATTGACACTGCAAGCCTGAGCATGGCTTGTGCCATCAGCATGGACCAAAGGCCATGAGGAGGTGGGTGGGACTCCATGCAGAGTCTTCAGACAGCCCCTGTGTCCCACCCTGAGCTCATCACAGCTGCAGTGAAGCACCTGTGTTCCCAGTGGGGATGTACAGGTCTTTACTGGCCACTCTTCTCCATCAGGTATTGTATGTGCTCACCAAAACTTTGGGACCAAAGGATGGATCTCAATATGCTTGGAACTTTAAAAGTCATAGGTTTGTACAGCTACAAACAAACATTGCAGAGTGAAAAAAAAGAATAGAGGGGTGTGGATCCACATTTTTGACACACTCAAAATGAGAGGAAAGTACATGGGTTACAGGGTCTAGCTGGCAACAGCTGAGAGATGTTGACAGACAATAGAAGGAAGAGGTAGAGCTCACCTGCCAGTCAGTTTTATAAGCTCTCCTGAAAACCTGCCAAGGGCATACATTGATATAATATTTATAAAACATTTTCTCTGAACAGAGAGCCCACGACCCTGACAGGAGCACCACCTGTCCCAACTTCCAAACCTCCCTCCACAGTGCTTTCAAAGCAAATCTCCATAAAGAAGCAAAATGTTTGGACAAGAATATCTTCACAAAAAGCATAGATAAGAGGCATAAAAAATATCAAAGAGAAAGAGCTGCATCAAAGCTAGGAGGCCATCTCCAGAAAGACTCCAGCAGATGTAATCAAGAATAAAATTCTATGGAAATGGGCCAAAAAATGTTGACATAGGTTTACATGGAAACTGCAGCACTTTGTCCCAGGAGAAGGGCTCAGCTAAGGCATCTCTTGTGGAGAGTGTTATATAAACATGAACTTTGTGAGATGGGCTCCTTTCACAGGTGTAGCTTATCCATGCACCCTGATTATAATACTCAGCTAAGCATTCATATTTATCTAATAACTAATAGTAACTAACATGTATCCTTTTTTTTTCCCTACTTTTCAGTTGTCACCATGCCTATGGAGACAATCCATCTCCTTTGGAAGAAACTGAGCTTTTTAAAATTCTAGTCATAGTTTTTGTAACATTCATGATTTAGCCTCACTTTCCAGGGCTAAAACTTTTTCTTTTAACTTTTTTTTTGTTTTTTTTTTTCTTATTGCAATTTGTCCAGCACTGCTTGCACGGGAGCAATTTCATGGACGAAAGCCTTCCACTGGGGGTAACAGAATATATGTAACAATTTATATTGAGTTTCCATCATGTTGTACCACTTGCCACATGCGAATGAATTTAGGTTTGCAACACCCTTGTGTGGTAGAGACATATTGATTTTCCTTTATTATGGATTGGAAAACAAAGACTTTATGCAACAAAGCCTCAGTCAATCACAGAGCCAAGAGCAGATCCCAGCTTTCCCCAAGGTGGACTTGTGTTGGCCATTGCAAGACTATTTTCCTTCTTTCAAGGTGGTGCTATTTTTAAGACAAAAAGGAACAATAATTTCAATATCAGACAGCTCACAGAAATAGAGTAGTGAATGTACATGTGGGCATCCTTTTAAGGTAGTTTCTATAACTAAAAAGTGTTAGTGGAAATTTTGAAATGTTTACAACTGTGGGGTCTATGAATGGTTCATTGGATTTTGGTTTGTTCGTTTGTTTATCTTTTCAAAGTAGCAACTATTTCTGAAGCTTTACTTTCCATTCTCATTTATATACTCAAAAGGAAGGTCTGGTTATCATGAGTAATTATTAAAAGCACTCTTGATCTCCCCTCAACTAAGAGAATTAAAGAACGAAAAGTTGTTAGCAATAGCAAAATTGCACTTTTTTGGCAGCAAAAATTTCTAGTTTTACCTTTAATGGAGCATATAAATAATGTCCATTTTAAGGGAATTTCAATACCATTTTGAAAATTTATTGCAGTCATTAAGACCCTAAAGTTCCGAAGTCATTATATTTTTTCATTTAATAGAATCCTTTGTACTTGAAAATTTGTCCTGCAAACATTTTTGAGGAAGTGTTTCTAGATCTAAGTAAAAAGTCAGAAGCATTATCTTCATTTCAAAATTCCTTGGGTTTTCTTCTCTTATATAGCTTTCCTCTTAAGAGTTATTTAAATCCTCTCTAAAAATCTGCAGCTGAAAAAATTATAATTCAGTAGTAGGTTTATATTTGCATGCCCTTAAATACATCAGAAGTGTTCTGAAATGCTGCATATTGACTATATTTTAACAGTCAGTGTTCAAACAAATCCATGATTTTCAAATGTTGGATGTGGAATGCAACAAAACAAAATTGTATTTGATCTAATCTCTCCATGTGAGCCTATGCTGAGCTACTATATGAAAATACAGGTTTTTAATAAAACAGGGAAATAGAGACAAAAGTGAGTACAATGGTTTGCATTTATCCACCGAGGAATTCATGATCCTTGTAGCACTAACTTCAGTGCTTTGACTACAAACAGTTTATCCTTAG